ATTATAGAAAAATAAGAAATTGATTTTTTTGGATTATTAATAGATAAAAAAGAAATAAAATTGTAAACTCATATATCTAAAAAGATAGAAAAATTTCTGAATAAATTGTAATCTAAAAAATAAATACAAAAATTTTTAGGATATCTAAATTATGCTAAAAGATTTATGAAAAATCTTTCAAAAAAGAGACATAAAATACAGTTTTTACTTAAAAAAACAAATACTAGAAGATGAAATGAAGAACATACCGAAGTAGTTAAATTATTGAAAGAAGAATGTAAAAATTCTATCAAAATTAATATTACCAAATGAGAAGGATAATCTAGTTGTTAATACCAATGCAATATTAAAAACAGACTTAAATGAAATATGTACATATTCCAGTGGAACTTTTAATCAAGTAGAAATAAATTAGACTAATAATGAAAAAGAATTATTAGCAATCATCAGAGGAATAAAAAAGTTCTCATTATTTTTATTATTTAAGAAATTTACTGTTGAAACTGATACTTCTCAAGTTGCAAGATTAGTCAGAAATGAATTACCAATGGAACCCCAATATAGGAGANAAAGTTCTCATTATTTTTATTATTTAAAAAATTTATTATTGAAACTGACAACTCTTTAGTTGCAGGACTTATTAAAAATAAATTACCATTGGAACCCTAATATAGAAGGTTACATAGATGGCAGACACACTTGTCATTTTATAATTTTAATATTATCCATATAAAGGGAGCTAATAATTATTTTGCAGATTTCCTCAACAGAAATATAGAATTCAGTAATGGATAATATCAAACCATCTTTGATAGATGCCAAAGAGCGAATGGACTTCCCTTTGGAAGAAACTGATGATATAAAAATTGGAATTGAACAGTTAGCAGAAACTCTCCAACATAATGTTGGTTGTTGGTAGAAATCTCTACTTCTCATTCTAAATATACCAAAGAATTGAGTGAAATGTTTGATGATATTACTTCACAAATCGAATCACTAAATACCAAAAATACAAACAGGTACATAACATGGAAGCAACAGTAAACCCAGTCAAATAAAAAAAGATGGATCAAGT